TGACTCCTATGTTACTAGGAGCTCTGTAACCAGCAACATCATATTGTTTTATTTTTTGTGATTCCTGTCTTATTAGAAACCTGTAACCAGCAACATCATGAATGTCCAGGCTATTGGTTGCCTGTATCGGTATTTATACAAAGATATCACTAATAGGACCCTGTTAATGTTGCTAAAGTTAAAAAGTTAACACACAGAACTTTATGGTTTTACTTTTTATAAAAATGCTAAATTCTTTCATCTTAAGAAAGTTCTCTGAATAACCTATATTTTAACCTAAACTAATACGTACTTCTGATTTGAAGGTTTTTGTTTTATATAGCATTCTTAAAAAGAGTTTCTTGTGTCTAATGTTCCCATCTTATAATCTATCTGAAAACATCCTCCCAGAAAGTTCCTATTCATACTTAAATCAATGTGTCCCTTTCTAAACTAATGTGTCTGTCTGTCTTTGTCCACAGTGGAGTTGAATGGCCAGCAGACCTCCCCGCCACTACTAACCCAAGCACTATCAGGTATCTAAGAACTAAAATGTTCGATTTATCCCTTAATTAAGGAAACTTGTATGTGCTTGATTAAAGCTTGTGAACTATGCTAATATTTATAACAGCACGATATATATATATATATTGCATTATTAAAATTGAGATTAACATTTTTCATGATTTTCTTTCTCACAACGAAACAGGCGCCATCTATCGTTTACCTCCGTTATTAATTAATTGCAGTTTGTTTTTCAAGCTTTACAAGTATAACAATGGCATTCGACGCTCCGTTTCGAGATTGCATGCGTTTATATTAGATAACGTCAAATTTCACCTTCTAAAACTCAGAAAATAGTTCTTAAACCCAGAATGATCAATGAAGAGTCTCAACCTTAATGTGTCCATAAAATTTGGTACAAATCCAGTCACAATTTACAAAGTTATTAACCCATAACTGCCAAAATGCCATATCTCCCCATTATAAAAAATGCCCTATCTCCCCGTTTATAAAAATGCCCCATCTCCCCGTTTATAAAAATGCCCTATCTCCCCATAATAAAATGCCCCATCTCCCCATTATAGAAAATGCCCCATCTCCTCATTATAAAAAAAATGCCTTATCTCCCCACTAATAAAAATTATTTCAAAGTGATGCAAAATCCGGACTTGGATTCAGACCAAATTTTTGGAAGGACTGTCCCATACTGATTACCCATCTTGTGCAAAACATTTTCGTGTACATCGATCTATTAGTTCTCGAGGAAACACAGACAGACAGACACCCGATTGCAATACCCTCGCCTCCACCCCCGCTCCGGTAACGAGGATAAAGATACATTATGGCTTAGGAAGTAGTTTGTTAGGTCCTGCACCACTGAATAACCAACGACAAAATCTTAGCTCAGTAACAACTATTACTGTGTGTTACTAATGTTAACGTAAACCTTTTCATAGATAGATTTATGTTCTACATTATGTAAAGTAATAAATTATAACCTCTATACACAGTTTTGGTCACGAGAGATGTTGTTTTTGTATTTCGTAGTAAATATACCTTAATAAAAATGTATCTTCAAGTAGAAAAAAGTTTAATTCTAAAAATGTTTTAATTGCAACTGTGAAATTAAAAAGTGGTAAAATGTAGAACACTAAATAAATATTTTAATGAAACCTTACTACACTTTAGCTTGAGACGGAAACAATTCACACACTTATAAATGTTTTAGATAATTTTATTGATTGAAATAATGAATTAAAGTTTCACAACCACGAGAAATGAGATAATAAAGAAATGTTGAATCCTTTAGTGACTCAGATAACTAATTGTACAGACGTGGGCTAATCTAAAGGAAACAAAAATAACTTTGAAGTTTAAAAATCAACAATCAGAGGCATGCATATTTAATTTGTGAAACTTAACATATGCTAACTAATTTGAAGTTATACAATATACTTTTGCGATCACATACTGAAATATGAAAAATGAACGTCATCTAATACGTCATAACTAAACGCAGCGCCCCTGATGTCAAATAGTTTAAACTCGTAATTTTATCGAGTGCAAAAGAAAAAAACAATCTGAAAAAGCTGTAACGATAGTTTTTCATCTCTATAGTTGGGATATCAATTGTAAATGAGATCTGAAAATATTTGAACACACTTTCATTCATATTTTTAGGAAGTACGTGAGGTGACAATATTCAAAATACTTTGAAAGTTTATAGGCCTAAAATCACTCTTTTTTTCCCATTCTAATCGTCATTGGAACGTAGTTTGGTTGCAGATTAGTTTTACAAATTGTAATCTGAATTTCGTCTTTGTAATCATTTAAGTGCACTGTGTTTTACAATTTTTCTTCGAATCTTAAAAACATCTTGGTCATGGTATACTTGTAAATCTCATATTTTCGATAATGCTCTTTATGTAGTTTGTATTTTAACGCTACTGTTGTTTTGATATACTCACTATTCTCCATCTCTTCCCAGTGATAAATAACTATGGTCCCACGGGCTTTGCTCCGCCCACATCCCCAGCCAACAACCGTGGGTTCCCCGCCACCAATAGTCCGGGACCCATTGACTTGTATAACTCTAACCATGATACTATGGGTTACGTCCAGGCCACTAGCCCCCAGCCGTCTGGGTATCCCCCCATCGCTGTCAGCAGGGTAAGTATGGTGGTAGCTCTGTATTATGTAACAAGGATATTAAAACTCTAGAAGAGAAATACGTTGGTCATCCATTTGGAAAAAAAAATCGATGAAGGCCTCAATGTTGTTTGTTAACAAACGATAACGCAGTCATGTAATTGTCGTTTTAACGTAAGATACTTAACCCTCAGCATACATATATATTATTCGTTACTGGTTTTTAAGGAATATCGTACTTTATCAAAGAGCTACATGAACTGACATCATGGATAAACCACGAGTGCTTTCGAAACGTGTTGGTCTTTACTAAATGTGTTTTACCATCTAAAGTGTAATCCGATATTTCATTATGAATATCGATCTCACATTTTAACTCACAAGCCTGATAAACTACGTAATATTAACTTGTCTGAGAGTCACTGTTTGAACTGTTAAAGTGAATGTTGAGTCAGAATCAATGAGAGTCACTGTTTAAACTGTTAAAGTGAATGTTGAGTCAGAATCAATGAGAGTCACTGTTTAAACTGTTAAAGTGAATGTTGAGTCAGAATCAATGAGAGTCACTGTTTAAACTGTTAAAGTGAATGTTGAGTCACTGTTTGTTCTCCTCTTCATGTCATGAAATATAAAGTACTGATCATTTGTAACACTCACATGATTGGCTGTGTTATGTTCCCTAGTGGTCAGAATGTTTGTGTGTTTGTCGAGTCTCATAAATCAACAAGTCCAAAGCCAGACTAGACTCCAGCTAAGTATTGATTAAATCAAAAGGAGCATGAGAATGAGTAGGTTGTAAATAATGTCGCGTGGTAGCAAATTGAGCATGTTCATGTATCAAAACACCATGATAGAACATTGCAACAACACATCAAGCATGTTATAGGATCTAATCACTAGGATAGAACAATATGGCAACACATCAAGCATGTTCTAGGATCCAAACAGAATGACAGCACAATATGGCAACATAGCAAACATGTTCTAGGATCCAAACACAAGGACAGAACAATATGGCAACACATCAAACATGTTCTAGGATCTAAACACTGGGATAGAACATTGTTGTAACCTCTCCAGTTGTTAAATACCAAACAGAATTGGAGCTAGAGATGTAATTTTGTGGGGTTTATAAACTATCAGGAGCAAATAGGATTGGTCAAGTTATTCTTCGGTTCCTGCTATATTTTTGGTGGAATTAGACCAGGCTCAACGTTTAGACACACACTTGATGAAGGTAAATACAGTATGTTGAAATGTCCTTTCTAAGCTCATCCAACCAAACCAGAATTGTTGTTTTATCAGCTGGTTGTCAGTGATACTTTCAACCGTAAATCGAGAAAAGTTAGAGTTACATATAAGAACATCAATAAATCGACCAGCGTTACCTGGACGTTACAGAATCGTGCGCAAGGGTATTGAAAAACTTGACAGCTGTTAAATATAAAATGGCGTCCCACTTGTCACGTGAACTGTCGTCTGTTTATTCTATTGCAAACCCTCTTCCCTAAGTAACACGTCTTGTGACTTTTTCTTCCGGAATCTACATTCACTGTGGTCTTCAGACACGAAATATCCAACAGATAGCGAAACGTTTCTACAATAGATTAGGTTCTGGAAACGGTTATTCATTAAAACGTCTGTGTGCATTCAATAAGTTGGTTACTGAGGTTGTAGAAGCTTTCCAAACGTCTGCACCAGACAAGAACAGCACTTTCAAGTCAGACAAAGAGTCTAAGTGTGGTATCCCATAATCCATAGATCACCCATGGCAATGGATATTTCAAATGACACATTTAACGAGGAGAACCTCCAACTTATATTAATTTGTTCACTTATCTTTGCCAATCTTCAAGTTGAGCTTGTCCCACCTCAGGGAGTAGACACAGACACGAGGTCAAACTTGTACAAGCTTCTATTAGATTGTCATTGCTGTATACAACTTTACTAAGTAAAAGTAGTAGGGATGTCATAATTACGTACATAAAACCTGCGCGAAAATGTAGAAAAAAAACAAACCTGAATATAGCTTACTACAGATATTTGAAGTGTGACGTCACTACCATAATTGTTTCTGATATCCAAGGATCACTGAACAAACTTCACCTGACATTTTCTCCTTGTGTTTGAAAGTTTATAAAATCCACAAAATTGGTTGTTTCACCAAAGGTCAGTTACTTACCATCTCTTTACGGACATTAAAAGATCATTTCGTCTGCATAACCAATACGGACTTGAAATGAGAACAATTACATCAAACATTCCCCCATTATTTGTTTTATCGCCAGGTGGCTAGGGGGCGATTGACCCGCAGTCAGAAAATCGAGGGTTCGAATTCCCATCTCACCAAACAAGCTCGCCCTTTCAGCCGTGGAGGCATTATAACGTGATGGTCAATCCCACTATTCGTTGGTAAAAAGAGTAGCCCAAGAGTTAGCGGTGGGTGGGGATGACTAGCTGCCTTCCCTCTAGTCTTTTACAGCTAAATTATGGACGGCTAGTGCAGATAGCCCTCGTGTAGCTTTGCGCGAAATTCAAAACAAACCAAAACCAATTTATTTATTTATTTTCTAATATCGCCACGGATTAAGCAACTTTTACCTTTGGCTTAATGCGATAGTCGTGCATATAAGGTTGTATTCGGGTTATCTTGGTGATACACCAAGAAGTATACATTGTACGGATGCTTTCTACGCCCTTTTTTGATCTTCAGTAACTACACGTTTTCACAAGATACTTTAAGGAGTAAGTACACTCTCGTAGCACCGGTTCTGATTTGTTTTATAGCGTTTGTTGAAGTAAAAACTAGTATTTTAAACAGAGTATGCTCTAAACTACTGACGAATAAATCTACGTTATGAGTAAGAAAATTATTTTTTTCTCTTGTAGGGTCCTTTGATTGCAGCAGCTTTCACTAATGGCTACCACTGAGGCTCAGCTTTCTGACCTTTGACCAGCAATAGTAAGGTATCCTAACAAAATAACTATTCTAACCTTTTCATAGCATCACCTCCCGATTCTTAACCCCCTCCCACCCACCGTATTCCGTCTTTTTTGCACTGCTTTGATAGGGGGTGTTACTACTTTGTAACATAAAGCGTTATCAGAAATAGGCACGAGAAGCTAAAGTCCTCATATCTACCATGGGGTACGAGGATCCAAAGTCCTCAAATCTACCATGGGGTACGAGGATCCACAGTCCTCATATCTACCATGGGGTACGAGGATCCAAAGTCCTCATATCTACCAGGGGGCATGAGGATCCAAAGTCCTCATATCTACCATGGGGTACGAGGATCCAAAGTCCTCATATCTACCATGGAAAGAGTAGCACTGATTACGCCCCTTCCCATAAATTTCGATAGGTTTCAGATTTCACAAACTACGGTTGAGTTTATGGTTCACCCAGATAAAGATGAGTTTGATAGCTAAAGATAGATTCGAAAATGGGGGATTAAGAAACTAAGGCGAAAAATAGAACACCATCTAATAGGTCATTAAGCTTATTATTTTAACATTAAATTCGCTTTTTTTATATTTTCATTAAGTCTTGGTCTCCATTGCACTGGATGGGCTCAAATTAACGCTCTAATTATAATATTTTATAGGGGAGGAGCATTTCAAACCTCCCTAGTTTCCACCTGTTGCTCCTCCCCCCTGACGCCTATGTGAAGAGAGAGATAGGGGTGTTTTTTTCCCCCTTAGTCCTCAAAGACTCTTTAAAATTCTACATTTATGACAAAAAATACTACTAATAAAACGTAAACTTGTTAACTCTTTATCATATTGATGTTGTTGGCAATATTCCATGTGTTATGAAAAGTGAACATAAGATTTGGGAACACAGGACCTTTATGGTTAACATATATGTTTGTGGTTTTTAGTATCTTAAAAACGCTCTACTTGTCTTCTATTGTATACAGCTTGGATAAGATGGATCCTCAGGGAAGAAAAGAAAGACTTCTGGTTGTCTGGGCAACATTGACTATGTGTATATGAATTATCCTGGACTATGTCCGGATGGATCCGTGTTTAATAAGTGATAATCTGTGAAACATTAATCTTCAAAGATAGAAAATGTTGACTGTTTATGTTTCCGCTAGCCTAGTGGCTGATGAAGAAAACGAATGATGTTTTGTTGGTTTTATTTTCCATACTTCACCATCTCACAGAAGATTTGGATCCAAAGACATACATTTTTTGTTAACATGGTTGATGTTGTAAAAATGTGTTGAAGAACTGATAGCCAAATAGGCCTAATCTTAAAGGTCGTCAGTCACTTTATTTGTTGCTAATAATGTCTCCATGGTAATCACTTTAAGGGTTCTTGTTTGTTTGTTTGTCCAATCTGATACTACTCTTTGGGACTTATGTAGTCCAGTTTAAACATTAACTTCTCGCGCGAGGTCCACAAGGACCACAAACAAATAATGATGGCCCCCAAACTATTAAGCCTGCAAGTAGACTTTTTTGTTCCCTCTATTGAAGTTTCTTGGAAACGAACGAAGAATTAAATACTTCTTCGAAATTTGTTGAATAAATTTTTCTTCTCCATTTAAAGATTATATAAGTTCTGAAGCGTTAAACAAGAAAGTGGATTCTTCTTTTTATTGTGGTGTTCATATAATTCTATTTTTTTCGTCTGTAAATATGACTGTGTTTAACTATCTGTGACTATTTAACCACAACGGATCACTTTGTTGATTTTAATAACTCGAATCTTGCGATCAAATAAAACAAAAAACTTGGACATTCATTTTCTCTTCACTTATTTATTTTTAACTTTTAACTGTTATATTAATATTTCCATCACAATTAACTCACATTTATAGGTAGCGTTTTCGTAATTGAAAATCCTTTAATTTACAACGCATTTAAGAAATATTGACCGATACTGAAGCAATAAATATTTTATGTATGGGCACTGCAAAATTAACTTGTAAGACTTCTGAAAATAAGGATGACTCTACTTTAAACAACAAAGTATTGACAATGTTTCATGACAGAAATATTTTGTACATATTAGGCAAATTAAAGCAATGAATATCTGGAAAAAAAACACGTTTTATTATACTTTTTTTTTCTTTTTGGCAGTACGACGTCTAAATAAGTTTAATATGTTCTGTTAGTCTAATTAGTGGACTTCTATATACTACAAGGTGACCAACTCAGATATGATACGAAATTTCATTGGTTTAATTTGTTTGAATTATTTAAGTTCTAACTTTCATTGGGTTAGGAGCTTTTATGGGTCTAATTAGCGGACTTCGATGTGCCAGGAGGTCTCGGTAATTTAATTAGCGAATCCAGGGTTTTATAAATTTTTAATTATCTAATAATAAGTATTCGGTGTTTCGGTTCTACCACCTAATTAGACATTATATTATAGTGAGCAA